ATAGATGAGTGGTACCATGACTACAGTACATAGGAATAGATGAGTTGGGACCATGACTACAGTACATATGAATAGATGAGTTGGTACCATGACTACAGTACATAGGAATAGATGAGTTGGTACCACGACTACAGTACATAGGAATAGATGAGTTGGTACCATGACTACAGTACATATGAATAGATGAGTTGGTACCATGACTACAGTACATATGATTAGATGAGTTGGTACCATGACTACAGTACATATGATTAGATGAGTTGGTACCATGACTACAGTACATATGAATAGATGAGTTGGGACCATGACTACCGTACATATGAATAGATGAGTTGGTACCATGACTACAGTACATAGGAATATATGAGTTGGTACCATGACTACAGTACATAGGAATAGATTAGTTGGTACCATGACTACAGTACATAGGAATAGATGAGTTGGTACCACGACTACAGTACATATGAATAGATGAGTTGGTACCATGACTACAGTACATAGGAATATATGAGTTAGTACCATGACTACAGTACATAGGAATAGATGAGTGGTACCATGACTACAGTACATAGGAATAGATGAGTTGGGACCATGACTACAGTACATATGAATATATGAGTTGGTACCATGACTACAGTACATATGAATAGATGAGTTGGTACCATGACTACAGTACATATGAATAGATGAGTTGGTACCATGACTACAGTACATATGAATAGATGAGTTGGTACCATGACTACTGTACATAGGAATAGATGAGTTGGTACGATGACTACAGTACATAGGAATAGTTATTGTAGAAAAGAGTGTGACAGGCATCAAATGAATCAAATCAAATTACTGAATAACTATTTTACTATTACTATTATTAAGTAGAAGAAAAAGCAGAAGAGACTCACTAGAAAAATATAAATAAATCTTAATGTGACCTAAATAAATAACAAGGCAATAACTTACAGGAACAGTAGAGGAAGTTGTCCTACTACAGTATCTATCATAGTGACAGCATCTACAGTACATGACAATGAATAATGATGGTTTCTCTGGAAAGACACCCTAACCTGTAGGGAACGGCTCAGCCCTCACGTTAACAACCATGTATACCTGATCCTATCTCTACCTCACTGGGCTGTGATACTGTGTCTGTTGGCAATGTGAGAGAGGTTAGCGCCCACATGGTCTATCACACAGCATCGCTATTTTACATTTTAGTCATTTAGCAGACGCTCTTATCCAGAGCGACTTACAGTTAGTGAGTGTATACATTTTAACTTTTCATACTGGCCCCCCGTGGGAATCGAACCCACAACCCTGGCGTTGCAAACACCATGCTCTACCAACTGAGCTACATCCCTGCCGGCCATTCCCTCCCCTACCCTGGGCCAATTGTGCGCCGCCCCATGGGTCTCCCGGTCGCGGCCGGCTACGACAGAGCCTGGATTTGAACCAGGATCTCTAGTGGCACAGCTAGCACTGCGATGCAGTGCCTTAGACCACTGCGCCACTCGGGAGATATCTCTGCATGTCCTGTTTACATTCTATCCTGCGTCCAGCAGCAGTCTGTTACAGCAAAGTCAACAACATCCCAGTGGAGAGAATCCTTGTCCCAACATTTTAAACATAAATCCTTCCTTCTTTGCTAGCTTCCTTGAGGTAATCATGCTATTGGCGAGGTGTAGTGCAACCACCAATACTCTGCTCCTGCCATTGGGCCGCCCATTTCAGACACTGCCCAAGGTCGTGCAACAACTGGTGGAGCTCGTCGTTTGCTGCCACCCAATGATCACCAGTCTAGATCCCACCGCTGCCACCAAATGATTGCATAGCAGGTGAAAGGAAGGTTTCTATTGGCCTGTTGTTTTTACCCATCAAGCCATGTCAGATCAGTGATTACGTCAAGGATGGGAGGAAGGAAGGATGCATTGTGATAGTATTGGAGGGCAGCCAGTGGCTTTTGAGTAGACTCGAGCAGGCTTTTTCAAACCTCTCCTTGGGGCCCCCCCCCAGACGTTCTATGTATTTATTACCTATCACCAGTGGTGGAAAAATTACCCAATTGTCATACTTGTGTAAAAGTAAAGATACCTTGATAGACAATGACTCAAGTAAAAGTGAAAGTCACCCAGTAAAATTGTACTTGAGTAAAAGTCTAAAACTATTTGGTTTTAAATATACTTAAGTATCAAAAGTAAAAGTATGAATAATTTAAAATGTCTTATATTAAGTAAACCAGACAGCACAATGTTCTTGTTTTTTAAATTTAAAGATAGCCAGGGGCACACTCCAACACTCAGACATAATTTACAAACAAAGCATATGTGTTTAGTGAGTCCACCAAATCAGAGGCAGTAGGGATGACCAGGGATGCTCTCTTGATAAGTGTGTGAATTGAACCATTTTCTGTCCTGCTAAGCATTCAAAATGTAACGAGTACTTTTGGGTGTCAGGGAAAATGTATTGAGTAAAAAGTACATTATTTTCTTTAGGAATGTAGTGAAGTAAAAGTTGTCAAAAATATAAATAGTAAAGGACAGATACCCCAAAAAACTACATAAGTAGTACTTTAAAGTATTTTTCCTTAAGTACTTTACACCACTGCCTATCACCCCTGATTCAGCTCGTCAACTAATCATCAAGCCCTTGAATAGGTGAATCAGGTGTGCTAGTTCAGGACTACAACAAAATGGTGAAACATCTGGGAGATTAGTTGATGAGGAGAGGTTTGAAAAAGGCTGGACTGTATGTTGTTCCTTCAAAACTAAAGTTGACTGACATCCTATATGACACTACAATTACAGAAAGGCAAGACACAAAACAATACAAATTCATGCTCATTTTAATAATTTCATACAAAATATTTGTTGAACACAATATACAATACCTTACCATACATTGTGTGAGACTTTTGAGAAATACATGGGAAATATAAGTACATCTTAAACAATGTAATATTTCAATAAACATATAAGCTGTACAATGACCTGTCACCGTACATAATATAGGAACAACACAGCCTTCATATGGCTTCAGATAACAACAGGAAAACAATAGAAGCTGAGGAACTACATTTCTGCCAAGCACCTCCCAAGAGATATTGTGCGTTTGACTACTGTAGATGTTGGGATTTCCAGATACTAACAAACCATTTGAATTTCAAATCCTGGAATTGTTTAGTTTGAGAGTATTTCCCCCAAAAACAATTTATTGAGAAATTAAAGTTGGTAAATTTCTTAGCAATCAGTTTAACCCTGAGAGCCTTGTCAGCACTGTGAATTGTGAATCTGAAAGGCTTTTTAAGAATGTTGAATGGAAATCTTAAGCATTATATAGTTGAACAAATATTTGACTTGTTTTGACAGGTAATGGTAGTGCATATAAATTATACCAAATGTACATTTTATAAATATTATTCTATTTACAGATGAAAGATCATAAATAAAACTGTTTCAGACAGTTGAAGGTTTGACATAGGACTAGGCGCAAGGAAGAGGATATTGAGTGGCTAAGCTTTCACACACACACACACACACACACACACACACACACACACACACACACACACACACACACACACACACACACACACACACACACACACACACACACACACACACACACACACACACACACACACACACACACACACACACACACAGTCAAGGTGGGAAATGTTGTCACAGTGATGTTATGCTGATATCCCCACAGCTGAGAGATGTAGCTTCCATTGCAGTACCATTTAGATGTATTGTTGCCAGACTAGCAAATAGGTGCTGAGCTATCCAACTTGTCAAAGTGCTTGACAGAAATTATGGAGAAAACTACAGGGGACATTTTAGATGACATTAATTTAACATTGAATCAACATTTAAAAAGATGCCATTTGTTCTGCCATTTCTGCCAAACCTTGAGAGTTGTCAGCTCAAGGGGGATCTGGCAACCAAAATAATAAACATTAGCTGAAATCAGACATTGTTGAATGGAGGTTTATTTTTTGGTTTATTTTTTGACTTTGGGATTTCTCTCTCTCTCTGGAAAGAAACCATTCAAATGTTTTCTCTCAAAAAAAATCTGAAGAAATTTGATTGAAGTGGTAATCAGGTATGACAGCACTCCTCTCTTAGGCAGGGTTCCATTTCACTGTTAAAGTGCATTTATCAGGACATCTTTGGAGTGTATTGGTTTTGACAGTTTACATGGGAAAAGATCGCGATAATTGCTTTACGGTTAAGCAAATATGTAAAATCAAAGTAACAGGTTTGCAACTGCTTTGCTGTGAATTTGGAAGTTATTGGTTCTGTGGCATTTGTTTATATTGATTCTAAATTTGTGAGGTACCATATAACAATACATGTATAGTCTCATGAGTTGGGTGTTAAAGAAGAACCTCTCTTTAGTAGATTTATTGACTCTTTAGTTTAAACACTTTCCTAGCTCCCTACCTACTCTTAGAAAAGGTTTTGGAAAGTCCACTAAACACCATTGTGAAAGGAAGCTACACTATTGCCGAAAAGACATCAGGAAGACTGCGTGTTCAAACCTGTTCAATAAATTATAAAATTACGTACAAAAGACCCTGTCGTAAAAAAAAAGGCACACAAAAGTCTTTAAACAATTGTCACAAAAAGGGTACACCTTCTTCGTTACAAACACCTGTGGATCACTAGTTTGAACATTGGATGCTACCCGGCAAAATCCCATCCCGTTACAAAACAAAACATGTACTCGAAATTAGTCACAAAGAACAACGATCGCTCTGAAGTGCAAGTGTCTCATCTTGTCCCAATTGAACGCAACAGAGTCTCTTTGCCTAGCTTAGTTTCATCTTCAGTATTTGTCAGAACAAAGATTGTATTATCTGGCTACCAAGGACCAAGATACGGTACTTCTGCCACACACTAGCATTTTCAACACGACTCCTTCAAGGCATCACTTTTCAACTCTTCATACTCTTCTTCCCGAGGGCTCCCAAACCAAGTGTCGGGGTTCCCCGCCCTCTTCTACAGGGGCCCAAAGCCAGTCAGGCCCTCGCGCACAAGCAGAGCAGCTCCAAAGAGCCAGATTGCAGGATTCCTCCACTGCAAGAAAAACAAAACGTGAAACACAACCTAAAACTGATGCTTCCATTTATGAAGATCGCGGGTCACGGCTCGTTATGTGGGGGAAGCTCCACGTGTGTTCATCTACACTCCACCCTGGTCAACTGGCGACCACCCCCCTTCCGTCCCTCTCTCGCCCTCCTCCACTCCTATCTGGCCATCCTCATCCTGTTCATCCTCTAGCGTCAGCTCAAACTGGAACCTGTGTCCTCCCTCTCCATCCACCTCTCCGTCGCTGGTGTAGAAGGGGGGAGAGGGGCTCTGGGGGATCATGCTCTGGTACCAGTTCCTGTTGTCCTCCAGGGTGTCCAGGATGTCCTGAGCGTCAGGGTGCACCAGGTCGGCCCACGTCTCCCACAGAGGGTGGACGATGTAGTCGATGAAGCCCACCTGGAGAGAGGGAGAAAGGAGAGGAGGGTGTGAGATTTAAAGATAGATACTGTAATAACCGCAATAGAGGGGGTTGAGTGTGTGTGTGTGCGTGTGTATGCAAGCAGTATGTATGTGTGTGTAGGGTGTGTGTGTGTGTGTGTATGCGAGCAGTGTGAGTACGGTACGTATGAGTGTGTGTGTGTGTGTATATTCCCTCTACATGTATTAGTAACCTACCTGGCTCTTCTCCACTGAAGCCGTATGCTTATCACACATGGGGCTGATCTCCATGCCTCTCTCCCTCTCCCGGTCTCCCTGGTGGGAGAACTCGTTCATGATGCGGTCGGTCCACTGGCGGTACAGCTCCAGAGACTTGGTGGGGTTACTGAGGTCAGCACAATGAACCATGTTACGCATCACCTGGAAGAGAGGGGAGGAGAGAGGATTGTGTAAGTTTGGTTGTGTGTGTGTGTGTGTGTGTGTGTGTGTGTGTGTGTGTGTGTGATCTCCTACCTGTATTTTGTCTGTGTAGTTGTCCAGCAGCAGCACTCCAGAGCTGGTCACCTTCTTGGTCTCCACCATGGTCTTCAGGTCAGCCAATAGGCTCATGTGTTTGGACATGTCAGTGGCCAGTACCTGGAGAGAGAGAGATTGTTGTTAGTGATTTATACATGTTTATGTTTCAGTAATATATGATTTGTGATCTATGATGCCAAGAAACCTAATTTATCGAATTGAATTGAGACAGGGATAGAAAACTGGACCGACCGACAGACCGACCAACAGTCGGAGACTCGTATGAATCTGACATCAGAATGAAATATGTTTGGTCAGAACCGAGACGTTCTCTCACCATGTCTATGACCATCCTCCTGAGGGACTGGCGTTCTTTCTTGGTCAGGTTCTGGAAGATATCACAGTTGTCTTCCTGCAGCAGCTTGAAGCCCACAGCCAGGTGGTGGTTCTCCAGGACCGACTCATCGTTGTACATCAGGGCCAGCTCTGAGTCTGGACAGAGAGAGAGAGAGACAGAGACAGAGAGAGAGAGACAGAGACAGAGACGAGACAGAGACAGAGAGAGAGAGAGAGAGACAGAGAGAGAGAGACGAGAGAGATAGAGAGAGAGAGAGAGAGAGGAGAGAGAAGCGAGAGAGAGAGACAGGAGAGACGAGAGAGAGAGAGAGAGAGACGAGAGACCCGAGAAGAGAGAAGAGAAGAGAAGATAGAGAGAGATAGAGAGCGAGAGATAACATAGAAGAGAGATAGAGAGAAATAGAATAGAGATAATCCAGATAGAGATATTATATAGCTAAGTTATATATATATATATCTCATCATAGCTATATACTATATTTATAATCTCATCCTATATACATTATATATTATAAATATCGATATACAGAGGACAGAGAGATAAAAATACAGAGACTCCAAGGGGACAGACAGAAAGATGACCATTAGAAACAATAGGGAAAAATGGAAGGGATAAAATACAACCAATTATATAGTAAAGGATAACATAACGTAGTACTAAAGTAGCAGAGCTTATGAATTCAGCACTGTTATTAGCTTTTGAAGGATAAAGTACTCCATGTTGTTAGCTTTTGAGGGATAAAGTACTCACTGTTGTTAGCTTTTGAGGGATAAAGTAATCACTGTTATTAGCTTTTGAGGAAGAAAGTACTCACTGTTGTTAGCTTTTGAGGGATAAAGTACTCACTGTTATTAGCTTTTGAGGAAGAAAGTACTCACTGTTGTTAGCTTTTGAGGGATAAAGTACTCACTGTTATTAGCTTTTGAAGGATAAAGTACTCAATGTTGTTAGCTTTTGAGGGATAAAGTACTCACTGTTGTTAGCTTTTGAGGGATAAAGTACTCACTGTTATTAGCTTTTGAGGAAGAAAGTACTCACTGTTGTTAGCTTTTGAGGGACAAAGTACTCACTGTTATTAGCTTTTGAGGGATAAGTACTCACTGTTGTTAGCTTTTGAGGGATAAAGTACTCACTGTTGTTAGCTTTTGAGGGATAAAGTACTCACTGTTATTAGCTTTTGAGGAAGAAAGTACTCACTGTTGTTAGCTTTTGAGGGACAAAGTACTCACTGTTGTTAGCTTTTGAGGGACAAAGTACTCACTGTTGTTAGCTTTTGAGGGATAAAGTACTCACTGTTGTTAGCTTTTGAGGGACAAAGTACTCACTGTTGTTAGCTTTTGAGGGATAAAGTACTCACTGTTATTAGCTTTTGAGGAAGAAAGTACTCACTGTTGTTAGCTTTTGAGGGATAAAGTACTCACTGTTATTAGCTTTTGAGGAAGAAAGTACTCACTGTTGTTATCTTTTGAGGGACAAAGTACTCACTGTTGTTAGCTTTTGAGGGACAAAGTAACTCACTGTTGTTAGCTTTTGAGGGATAAAGTACCCACTGTTTTTATCTTTTGAGAGAGAAAGTACTCGCTGTTTTTAGCTTTTGAGGGATAAAGTACTCACTGTTATTAGCTTTTGAGGAAGAAAGTACTCACTGTTGTTAGCTTTTGAGGGATAAAGTACTCACTGTTATTAGCTTTTGAGGAAGAAAGTACTCACTGTTGTTAGCTTTTGAGGGACAAAGTACTCACTGTTGTTAGCTTTTGAGGGACAAAGTACTCACTGTTGTTAGCTTTTGAGGGATAAAGTACCCACTGTTTTTATCTTTTGAGAGAGAAAGTACTCGCTGTTTTTAGCTTTTGAGGGATTAAGTACTCACTGTTAGCTTGAGGGATAAAGTACTCACTGGTACTAGCTATTGAGGGATAAAGTACTCACTGTTTTTAGCATTTGATGGATAAAGTAGTCACGGTTTCTAGCTTTTGAGGGATAAAGTACTCATTGTTGTTAGCTTTTGAGGGATAAAGTACTCACTGTTGTTAGCATTTGATGGATAAAGTACTCACTGTTGCTAGCTTTTGAGGGATAAAGTACTCACTGTTGTTAGCTTTTGAGGGATAAAGTACTCACTGTTGCTAGCTTTTGAGGAAGAAAGTACTCACTGGTGTTGATGAGGAACTGGTTGGAGACCCCAGGGTGGTCCACGTCATGGATGGCTGCCGCAAAGATGGCCGCCAAGATCTCCAGATCCGTGAAGACGGCCTATGATTGGACAGGACCAGAGGAGTGAAAGGAAAGGAAACCGGAGAGACTTGATGAGTTTTCCACATTGACAGTAAAAATTCTGCTTGGCAAGATAGAGTAACACATTCATCTGCTAGTAACTCATTATTGTGTGACATATCTAGGTTGAGTGGCGGTGACATATTTCAGTGGAGTGGTGTGACTTGCTCGTATACATGATTTATTCTGACTTTAAGGTCTGCTATGTGAGATGGTGTTAGTCACTCCCTTTAGTCGTCATATTCAAAACAAATCAAGAAGACAGGTTGCTAGATAACAGAGTCGTAATTCAAGATCTGTCTGGATAACCGATAGATGAAAATCAACACTAAGCATTTCAACAGCAGAGGTCTTAAAGGGCTTTATCATTGGGCTGATGTGAGCTAGGTCTCTGACAATGATTGGAGGAAGAGAGGGAGAGGAGGGAGGAGAGAAGAGAGATCCAGAGTAGAGAGAAGACACAAGAAAACAGAGAAGAGAGATCCAGAGTAGAGAGAAGACACAAGAAAACAGAGAAGAGAGATCCAGAGTAGAGAGAAGACACAAGAAAACAGAGAAGAGAGATCCAGAGTAGAGAGAAGACACAAGAAAACAGATAGGAGAAAACAGCACTATCATAGGTCGAGCTGGGTCAGGTGACTTACATCCAGAGCGGGTGTAGAGAGCAAGATGTGTGTGGACTGGGCCACGTCTGCAGCGTGGAGGCTGTTGTGGTATTCTACGTCTGAGTGGTAGTGGGCCTCCAGGGTCATCATGAAGGTCACGAAGGTGTCCGCAGGGATTTTAAACATCTTCATCAGGTCTCGCTCCTGCACGGGACACACACGGGACGTAACCCGCAACTTGAGTAAAACATCAACCTGATGGTCCTTTCAATTTGCTTAAACTTAAAATGACCGACTTTGGTTTCCCTTGGACTTTGTCTTGTTTAAATTGCAATGGCATTGTCATAGCAAGATGTAGGCCAACTAATAAAGGCCATTACATTGTCATAGCAAGATGTAGGCCAACTAATAAAGAAGGCCATTACATTGTCATAGCAAGATGTAGGCCAACTAATAAAGGCCATTACATTGTCATAGCAAGATGTAGGCCAACTAATAAAGACCATTACATTGTCATAGCAAGATGTAGGCCAACTAATAAAGAAGGCCATTACATTGTCATAGCAAGATGTAGGCCAACTAATAAAGACCATTACATTGTCATAGCAAGATGTAGGCCAAATAATAAAGACCATTACATTGTCATAGCAAGATGTAGGCCAACTAATAAAGGCCATTACATTGTCATAGCAAGATGTAGGCCAACTAATAAAGAAGGCCATTACATTGTCACAGCAAGATGTAGGCCAACTAATAAAGAAGGCCATTACATTGTCACAGCAAGATGTAGGCCAAATAATAAAGACCATTACATTGTCATAGCAAGATGTAGGCCAACTAATAAAGAAGGCCATTACATTGTCACAGCAAGATGTAGGCCAACTAATAAAGACCATTACATTGTCATAGCAAGATGTAGGCCAACTAATAAAGAAGGCCATTACATTGTCATAGCAAGATGTAGGCCAACTAATAAAGACCATTACATTGTCATAGCAAGATGTAGGCCAACTAATAAAGAAGGCCATTACATTGTCACAGCAAGATGTAGGCCAACTAATAAAGAAGGCCATTACATTGTCACAGCAAGATGTAGGCCAACTAATAAAGAAGGCCATTACATTGTCATAGCAAGATGTAGGCCAACTAATAAAGAAGGCCATTACATTGTCATAGCAAGATGTAGGCCAACTAATAAAGAAGGCCATTACATTGTCACAGCAAGATGTAGGCCAAATAATAAAGGCCATTACATTGTCACAGCAAGATGTAGGCCAACTAATAAAGGCCATTACATTGTCATAGCAAGATGTAGGCCAACTAATAAAGGCCATTACATTGTCATAGCAAGATGTAGGCCAACTAATAAAGGCCATTACATTGTCATAGCAAGATGTAGGCCAACTAATAAAGGCCATTACATTGTCATAGCAAGATGTAGGCCAACTAATAAAGGCCATTACATTGTCATAGCAAGATGTAGGCCAACTAATAAAGGCCATTACATTGTCATAGCAAGATGTAGGCCAAATAATAAAGGCCATTACATTGTCATAGCAAGATGTAGGCCAACTAATAAAGAAGGCCATTACATTGTCATAGCAAGATGTAGGCCAAATAATAAAGACCATTACATTGTCATAGCAAGATGTAGGCCAACTAATAAAGAAGGCCATTACATTGTCATAGCAAGATGTAGGCCAAATAATAAAGACCATTACATTGTCATAGCAAGATGTAGGCCAAATAATAAAGAAGGCCATTACATTGTCATAGCAAGATGTAGGCCAAATAATAAAGGCCATTACATTGTCATAGCAAGATGTAGGCCAACTAATAAAGGCCATTACATTGTCATAGCAAGATGTAGGCCAAATAATAAAGGCCATTACATTGTCATAGCAAGATGTAGGCCAACTAATAAAGAAGGCCATTACATTGTCATAGCAAGATGTAGGTCAACTAATAAAGGCCATTACATTGTCATAGCAAGATGTAGGCCAACTAATAAAGGCCATTACATTGTCATAGCAAGATGTAGGCCAACTAATAAAGGCCATTACATTGTCATAGCAAGATGTAGGCCAACTAATAAAGGCCATTACATTGTCATAGCAAGATGTAGGCCAAATAATAAAGGCCATTACATTGTCATAGCAAGATGTAGGCCAACTAATAAAGAAGGCCATTACATTGTCATAGCAAGATGTAGGCCAAATAATAAAGACCATTACATTGTCATAGCAAGATGTAGGCCAACTAATAAAGAAGGCCATTACATTGTCATAGCAAGATGTAGGCCAAATAATAAAGACCATTACATTGTCATAGCAAGATGTAGGCCAAATAATAAAGAAGGCCATTACATTGTCATAGCAAGATGTAGGCCAAATAATAAAGGCCATTACATTGTCATAGCAAGATGTAGGCCAACTAATAAAGGCCATTACATTGTCATAGCAAGATGTAGGCCAAATAATAAAGGCCATTACATTGTCATAGCAAGATGTAGGCCAACTAATAAAGAAGGCCATTACATTGTCATAGCAAGATGTAGGCCAACTAATAAAGGCCATTACATTGTCATAGCAAGATGTAGGCCAAATAATAAAGAAGGCCATTACATTGTCATAGCAAGATGTAGGCCAAATAATAAAGACCATTACATTGTCATAGCAAGATGTAGGCCAACTAATAAAGAAGGCCATTACATTGTCATAGCAAGATGTAGGCCAACTAATAAAGGCCATTACATTGTAATAGCAAGATGTAGGCCAAATAATAAAGGCCATTACATTGTCATAGCAAGATGTAGGCCAACTAATAAAGGCCATTACATTGTCATAGCAAGATGTAGGCCAACTAATAAAGAAGGCCATTACATTGTCATAGCAAGATGTAGGCCAACTAATAAAGAAGGCCATTACATTGTCATAGCAAGATGTAGGCCAACTAATAAAGAAGGCCATTACATTGTCATAGCAAGATGTAGGCCAACTAATAAAGGCCATTACATTGTCATAGCAAGATGTAGGCCAAATAATAAAGGCCATTACATTGTCATAGCAAGATGTAGGCCAACTAATAAAGACCATTACATTGTCATAGCAAGATGTAGGCCAACTAATAAAGAAGGCCATTACATTGTCACAGCAAGATGTAGGCCAACTAATAAAGAAGGCCATTACATTGTCACAGCAAGATGTAGGCCAAATAATAAAGAAGGCCATTACATTGTCAAAGCAAAGACTGTAAAGGAGTATGAATTGCTTGACTTGGCTGGCTGAGTAATTCATTGTCACAGTCCATTCATCCTCATGACTAGATGTTCATACTACAGTAGTGATCATTCAGCTACTGACCCAGAAGATGAGGACACATTAAGAAAACACAGAGAGCTGATATACACTGCTGTGTGCTGGCGACTCACCCCTGGTGTGTGTGTGTGTGTGTGTGTGTCTGCAGGAGAACCATTGCATTCTGACAGGAACGGAAGAGGAGGAAGAGGAGGAGGAAGAAGAGGAAGAACACTGACCTGGAAGATGGTGTACATGGTGCATGTTAGCGGGCGGTTGTGGGAGTGCTCGGCCACCCTGAAGATGGTGTACATGGAAGAGGAGGAAGAGGAGGAAGAGGAGGAGGAAGAAGAGGAAGAACACTGACCTGGAAGATGGTGTACATGGAAGAGGAGGAAGATGAGGAAGAGGAGGAGGAAGAAGAGAGGAAGAACACTGACCTGGAAGATGGTGTACATGGTGCATGTTAGCGGGTGGTTGTGGGAGTGCTCGGCCACCCTGAAGATGGTGTACATGGAAGAGGAGGAAGATGAGGAAGAGGAGGAGGAAGAAGAGAGGAAGAACACTGACCTGGAAGATGGTGTACATGGTGCATGTTAGCGGGCGGTTGTGGGAGTGCTCGGCCACCCTGAAGATGGTGTACATGGAAGAGGAGGAAGATGAGGAAGAGGAGGAGGAAGAAGAGGAAGAACACTGACCTGGAAGATGGTGTACATGGTGCATGTTAGCGGGTGGTTGTGGGAGTGCTCGGCCACCCTGAAGATGTTCAAACCCCACTTGTTGATGTCCTCAAGGTCCTGAGAGAGAGATTAACATTTTCAATTCATGAATCAAAAAGTGCCATTTATTTTCAAATCAGTCTTTAATCTGAATTTCCCTTCATTTCCTAAATTGAATTAAAATAGAATAGACCTCCTCTGGGGTTTTATTAACTGAGGTGAAACATTTTGCATGTTGCAGAGAGAAATGGAATGAATAGAGATGACATGATTCCCTATTCTATATGGGACTCATATGGTGTTTATTAGTACAGACTCCCCCAGTACCTTAGACAGCAGGTCCTCCTGGTCCGTCTTGACTCCAAAGCGGCTGACGCTGCTGCCTTGGAGCCCAGCGGTGTGGCTGAGCTTCCGGACCCCGCTGATCTGGGTCAAGGTCCCCTGACCCTCCTGCTGGGTCTGGTGATGGGGTCTCTTCTTTCGCTCTCTGGTCTTGGCCATGGGGCACGGTAACTCCAACTCATTCTGCTTGTCTGCAGGGATGTAGGGAGGAAGATTCAATTACTGCACCGTAACATGAAAATACAGTCTCGCAAACAACAATGGTGTGCCAATGGTGATATCATGATCGCAAAGCATAACATTTATATTGATATGTACATTTATAAAGCACAATGTATGTGCGTATTGACATCTACCTCGATATGGCACATCAATGTATTATTTAAATACCAACAACAGACTTGAGAGGGATGCTACAGATGTAGGATCTCCATTTGACCAGTTTCTCACAGCAGGAAAATAATCCTGCTACAACAGGATATTTGAATTATTGTGTGGATTATAATGAATGGACATGTAGGGGTTGATACATTTTTAATTGGATATTATAGACTTTGGAAGCCTTTTTAAACCTTGAATACACTACAAGTTAGCATTATCTGCTGTGCAGGACATTTCCTTCAACAGCAGGGTGATCAAATTAAGATCCAACATCTGTATGACTATGTATAAGTGGTCTGTACTAGTTTCCTTGCAGAGAGGCATTTCATTTGTCACACCCCTGACCAGACCATTCATTCTTCCTTCCGATCTACTGATAGTCATTCAATTAGCATGGTAATAGGTTACACACTCTCTCTCTCTCTCTCTCTCTCTCTCTCTCTCAAACAATCAATCCCCTTCTCTAGCTCTCTCGCATCTCTGTCACTCTCCTTTTCCCTTCTCTGTTCTTCTCCAGGAAAAATCCACAAGCAAATAGCCAACAAGTAGCAAATACTTGATCAATGACTTATGATGAAGAAATAACGTGTTGCAAATCAGCTATTGAGAAATTCCTGGAACTTTCCATAATATTTAATGGGGCATCAATTCCAAGTAGAGTAGTGAAATAATACTGTTGTGGATAAATAAAAGTGAATGAATACTGTTGTGGATAAATAAAAGAAAAGTGATTGAATACTGTTGTGGATAAATAAAAGAGAAGTGATTGAATACTGTTGTGGATAAATAAAAGCCTTTTTTCCAAACCATAACAATCCGTAGAAATGTGTCATATTAAGCAGAATTGTTTGGAGGAGGGGCTGGGCTGTATGCGGGTGGCGGTGAAGTGACCTCTCTTGAGGCGCTACATGTGAGCAACACGTGGTGTGTGCGGCTGACCGCGTGTGTGTTGCTTCACACACTGCTCTATTCTATATGAGGCGTAGAGATGATTTGCCTCGACCTGACAGGTGCAAGCAGCAATGCAGAACACAAAACAATTTTGCCTCAAATCACTATTCATTCTTTTCTCTCTCACGTTCTCCCTCATTTGATTGATTGATTATATTTGCCAGTTTAAAAAAAAACATATACACACACAGTACATAATTTTTTAAAAAGTGACAGGGATAGTCAGTGACTTATTTCCATTGTGGTCCCTAAAGTGCAACAACATTACATAGATACAGACATGAAATAGATACAGACATGAAATAGATACAGACATCCACTGAACAAAATATAAACGCAACAATTTCAAAGATTTTACTGAGTTATAGTTCATATAACATGGCATGGGTCCTCAGATCCTCAAAAGGTTCTACAGCTGCACCATCGAGAGCATTCTGACTGGTTGCAACACCGCCTGGTATGGCAACTGCTCGGCCTCCGACCGCAAGGCACTACAGAGAGTAGTGCGTACGGCCCAGTATATCACTGGGGCCAAGCTTCCTGCCATCCAGGACTTCTATACCAGGCGGTGTCAGAGGAAGGCCCTAAAAATTGCCAAAGACTCCAGCCACCCTAGTCATAGACTGTTCTCTCTGCTACCGCACGGCAAGTGGTACCGGAGCGCCAAGTCTAGGTCCAAAAGGCTTCTTAATAGCCTCTACCCCCAAGCCATAAGACTCCTGAACAGCTAATCAAATGGCTACCCGGACTATTTGCATTGTCCCCACCCCACCACACCCTCTTTTTACGCTGCTGCTACTCTGTTTATTATCTATGCACAGTCACTTTACCTCTACCCACATGTACATATTACCTCAATTACATTGACTAACCTGTGCCCCAGCACATTGACTCTGTACCGGTACCCCCTGTATATAGCTTCGCTACTGTTATTTTACTGCTGCTCTTTAATTATTTGTTATTTTTCTATTTTTCTATTATTTTTATTTAACACTTATTTTTCTTCAAACTGCATTGTTGGTTAAGGGCTTGTAAGTAAGCATTTCACTGTAAGGTCTACACCTGTTGTATTCGGCGCATGTGATTTATAAGGAAATCAGTCAATTTAAATAAATAAATTAGGCCCTAATCTATGGATTTCAAATGACTGGGAATACAGATATGCATCTGTTGGTCACAGATACCTTAAAAATAAAGTAGGGGCGTGGATCAGAAAACCAGTCAGTATCTGGTGTGACCACCATTTGTCTCATGCGGCGCGACACATCTCCTTCGCATAGAGTTGATCAGGCTGTTGATTGTGGCCAAGTCAATCCAGAGCATCCCAAACATGCTCAATGGGTGCTGTGTCTGGTGAGTATGCAGGCCATGGAAGAACTGGGACATTTTCATTTCCAGGAACTGTGTACAGATCCTTGCGACATGGGGCCATGCATTATCATGCTGAAACATCAGGTGATGGCGGCGGATGAATGGCACGACAATGGGCCTCAGGATCTCGTCACGGTATCTCTGTGCATTCAAATTGCCATCGATAAATGCAATTGTGTTTGTTGTCCGTAGCTTATGCCTGCCCATACCATAACCCTACCGCCACCATGGGGCACTCTGTTCACAACGTTGACATCAGCAAACCGCTCTCCCACACGATGCCATCTGCCCGGTACAGTTGAAACCGGGATTCATCCGTGAAGAGCACACTTCTCCAGCGTGCCAGTGGCCATCGAAGGTGAGCATTTTCCCACTGAAGTCAGTTATGACACCAAACTGAAGTCAGGTCAAGAACCTGGTGAGAACGACAAGCACGCAGATGAGCTTCCCTGAGACCGTTTCTGACAGTTTGTGCAGAAATGTTTCGGTTGTGCAAACCCACTGTTTCATCAGCTGTCTGGGTGGCTGGTCTCAGACGATCCCGTAGGTAAAGAAGTCGGATGTGGAGGTCCTGGGCTGGCGTGGTTACACGTGGTCTGCGGTTGTGAGGCCGGTTGGACGTACTGCCAAATTCTCTAAAATGACGTTGGAGGCGGCTTACGGTAGAGAAATGAACATTCAATTATCTGTCAACAGCTCTGGTGGACCTTCCTGCAGTCAGTATGCCAATTGCACACTCCCTCAAAACTTCAGACATCTGTGGCATTGTGTTGTGTGACAAAACTGCACATTTTATAGTGGCCTTTTATTGTCCCCAGCACAAGGTGCACCTGTGTAATGATCATGCGGTTTAATCAGCTTCTTGATATGCCACACCTGTCAGCTGGATGGATTATCTTGGCAAAGGAGAAATGCTCACTAACAGGGATGTAAACTAATTTGTGCACAAAACTTGAGAGAAATAAGCTTCAGCTCATGAAAGATGGGACCAACACTTTACATGTTGTGTTTATATTTTTGTTCAGTATAGATACAGACATAGAAATTGTTCTATTGTTCAATCATCAGCTAGACATTCTTTATTAAATTAAGTTATGGGCAGTATAGCTTTAAGCTATTGTGGTCCTCTGTAGCTCAATTGGTAGAGCATGGCGCTGGTAACGCCAGGGTAGTGGGTTCGATCCCCGGGACCACCCATACACAAAAAATTTATGCACACATGACTGTAAGTCGCTTTGGATAAAAGCGTCTGCTAAATGGCATATTATTATTATTATTTGTTCCACTCAACAGCGCCAGTATATAAAAAAGTGATCTTATCAGATACTCTTAAATGTAGAGTTTCTGGCTCTGGTGTTGTATTGGTGGACATCTGTAATAAAATATAACTGGACCTGGTACCTTTCCGCTTCCCTATATTAGCGACTGGAACCAGCTGCAAAAAAATACTCAAACTGGACAGTTTAATCTCCATCTCTTCATTCAAAGACTCAATCATGGACACTCTTACTGACAGTGGTGGCTGCTTCGCGTGATGTATTGTTGTCTCTACCTTCTTGCCCTTTGTGCTGTTGTCTGTGCCCAATAATGTTTGTACCATGTCTTGTGCTGCTACCATGTTTTGCTGCTGCCATGTTGTGTTGCTCCAATGTTGATGTCATGTGTTGTTGCTACCATGCTATGTTGTTGTCTTAGGTCTCTCTTTATGTAACTCTGTGTTGTTGTTTTTATCGCACTGCTTTGCTTTATCTTGGCCAAGTCGCAGTTGTAAATGAGAACTTGTTCTCAACTGGCTTACCTGGTTAAATAAAGGTAAAAATATCTCTTCATCAATGTCTTTCCTTCTCTTCCTCCTTTCCTCCCATCTACCATCTCTCTCTCGCTTTCTCTCCATTTGCTTTTTCATCTGTCAGAAAGATGGAGGCTTGTTTACAAGTGGGTGCACTGCGCAGTTTTCTCTGAGCAGTCGTTTCCTCTGAGCTGTGGAGAAGTGGTGCTGTCAGCTAGCGCTGGCTTATCGTCTGGGAGTTATGGAACGTGTTTCACCAGACGCATAACAAACACTCTTTCTCTCTCGTTCTCTTTGTCTCTCTGCAGAACGACAGAGGGACGGAATCCCTCGGAAGGGTAGAAGGTCTCCCTCCCTCTCTTTCTCTCTCTCTGCAGTGAGACAGAGGGAACGCACCAGCAGACTAGATCAGACTGGTTTGAAACTAGTGCAGAGCAACTCCACACTGGTACCCCATTCCGCAGCATCTCTTTCTCTCTCTCTGTCCCTCTATCCTTTTTCTCCTCCTGCGTAATCATGTATTCCTTGTTTCTCATTCTTTCTGTGTAAAAGCCAATAATACCCAAAACAGCACCATTCGGGCCAAGGAGGAACAGCACAGTGTAATAAATGACATGGGTTATTTAGTTTCAAGTGTACTTGTACTGTATGTAAAAGTGACTGTGTGTGTGTGTGTGTGTGTGTTGACTTACCAAGGAAGGTGTTGGAGATGAACTCTGACACCTGGTTGCCGGAGCGACTCGTCTCCGACAGGTGTGTCAGCTCCCGGTTCAACATCCTCTTGAACTGTAGAGACACAAAATAACAACACCATGTTAGATCGCCATTAGATATCAAATCAAATCCATTTTTATTTGTCACATACACGTTTAGCAGATGTTATTGTGGATGTAGCGAAATGCTTGTAGACTCTGTATCTCAGTTGGTAGAGCATGGCGCTTGCAAATCCAGAATAGTGGGTTCGATTCCCGGGCCTACCCGTACGTAAAATGTATGCATGCATGACTAAGACACTTTGGTTAAAAGCGTTTGCTAAATGGCATATATTGCTATATTATTAGATAGACTGTTTGAAAACCAATAGGAAATGGCTGCCCCGGGGTAGTGGCGTAAACTGTGTCCTCTTGAATTTGGAGTAACAGAAAAGGACGACAACACCAGGTTAGATACACGACATGTAGACCAGTGTTTCATAAACTCGGTTCCTTGGGACCCCAAGGGGTGCAAGTTTTTTTCTGTTACTCAGTTCAATGTCTTGTTGGTCAACACCAGCGTGTGTAGACCAACTCAGTCCTCATCCAAGCTTTGATTATTTGAATCAGCTGTGTAGCGCTAGGGCAAAACCCAAAACGTGCACCCCTTGGGGTCCCGAGGACCGAGTTTGGGAAACGCTGATGTAGACCAACAAGACATTTAACTGAGTAACAGAAATTGACAGGACAACTTTTAGCTGTATATAAAGAATGTCTAATGCACATAGACCAGCAAGATATCGAACAGGGGAAACACAAAATTACACCACACCGCATTAGGTATACTCCATGGAGACCAACAGGAAATTGCTGTCCCAGGGTAGCATAAATAGTTTCCTGGGACTTTCCGTTGACGTGGAGTATTGGACCCCAAGGGAATAGGCTTGTTTGTTTGATACCATATAAGGATTTGGTGTCTCCTTATAGGGTATATGCTTTATGACAGACCTGGTTTGAGATATTTGGTTTAAAAAATCTACAATTTCTAGATAAATATTTACAGCATAGGGTCAAATTCAACCAAACTACTGCAGTAGCTTTTCAACCAAACTTTGATTCAGTTCAGATCATCCTGGCATGCAATACATGCTGGCATACAATGAAAGCAGCAGACAGCTATGGGCTCAACACACCTTGATCTAATCCCAGTCCCCAACACACCTTGATCTAATCCCAGTCCCCAACACACCTTGATCTAATCCCAGTCCCCAACACACCTTGATCTAATCCCAGTCCCCAACACACCTTGATCTAATCCCAGTCCCCAACACACCTTGATCTAATCCCAGTCCCCAACACACCTTGATCTAATCCCAGTCCCCAACACACCTTGATGTACCCCAGTCCCTAACACACCTTGATGTACCCCCAGTCCCTAACACACCTTGATGTACCCCCAGTCCCCAACACACCTTGATGTACCCCCTGTCCCCAACACACCTTGATGTACCCCAGTCCCTAACACACCCTGATGTACCCCCAGTCCCCAACACACCTTGATGTACCCCAGTCCCTAACACACCCTGATGTACCCCCAGTCCCCAACACACCTTGGAACACCCCAACAATACCTTGATGTACCCAGGTCCCTAAACCACACCTCTGATGTACCCCCAGTCCCCAACCACCTTGATGTACCCCAGTCCCCAACACACCTTGATGTACCCCAGTCCCTAACACACCTTGATGTACCCCCGTCCCCAAACACACCTTGATGTACCCCCAGTCCCCCAAACCACCTTGATGTACCCCCCAGTCCCCAACACACCTTGATGTACCCCCCAGTCCCCAAACACAGCTTGATGTATCCCCAGTCCCCAACACACCTTGATGTACCCCAGTCCCCAACACACCTTGATCTAATCCCAGTCCCCAACACACCTTGATGTACCCCAGTCCCTAACACACCTTGATGTACCCCCAGTCCCCAACACACCTTGATGTATCCCAGTCCCCAACACACCCTGATGTATCCCAGTCCCCAACACACCCTGATGTATCCCAGTCCCCAACACACCTTGATGTACCCCAGTCCCCAACACACCCTGATGTACCCCCAGTCCCCAACACACCTTGATGTATCCCCAGGAGACACAGAGCATGGTGTTGGCTTCAGGCATGGTGCTGTACTTGGCTGTTGTATGGCTGTCTTTCTGAATAGACTAAACCAAGGCTGTCTTTACTCAACAACCAACAGCCCTGCCTTCATTTCTTCTCTCTCTTCGTATCTTGGTCTTTTAGCCTCTTTGGTGGCTCTTCACGAAGACACAGGTGACAGATCAATGATAATCCCCTCCAAGACGAGCGCCTAGACCCCCCTTCCGAGCGCTCTTCATCATTTCTGCAATCTCCCAGTGATATCTCCTCAGTCACAACGGCTAGTTTGATAGTGACTGTATTTCAATTAGTGATAGACGGTCTTCTCCTGAACAGCAGTATGTAGGTACGTCAGTAGGTAAGAAGCTTGCAGCAATGTAGGTAGAGGTACAGTAACTGGATCTCTTAGGTACTGTAGGTACGCCCCTTTAACCAAGATATCTCTGTCTATCTCTATGCAGGCAGATGAAGTGAAAGACAAATGGCAGTCAAAGAGGAGATACCAGTGATATATCTCTATGACATCTCTATCCATTCCAGAGGGCCAATGGTAGTGGGTGGCAGAGAAGATTCAAGTGCTATATCCATCCATCCATCCATCCTCTGTGAGACTGAGATGAGGCAGAGATGCTTAGTGGCTTGAAGGAGGGGTGGAAGAGGAGGACAGGGGTTCCAGTGGTGGCGAGGGATCCCCAGTGTCTGGCTAGAACTGGCTGGCTGGTGGAGGCTGCCTCCTACTCTCTCACGCTCTCTTTCACCCTCCTCCCTCTACCCCCCTCGCTCTCTCTTAAGCCCTCGCTCTCACACCCCTCCTCTCTCCCACCCCCTCCTCTCTCTCTCTCACCCCCTCCTCTCTCTCTCACCCCCTCCTCTCTCTCACCCCCCTCCTCTCTCTCTCTCACCCCCTCCTCTCTCTCTCACCCCCTCCTCTCTCTCTCACCCCCTCCTCTCTCTCACCCACTCCTCCCTCACACCCCCTCCTCTCCCTTTCTCTTTCCCTCTCTCCTCTCACTTTAGTCCCCAACAGCCACACACACTGCAGACATCAACATGGAGATTACACCCCCCCCCAACCCAGTAATGCAGAGCAAATCCAGAGTTTGCAATGCACTGAGTTTGCTGCAGCCCTCCTATCTACCACAGTCTTAATTTGTCTTAATATGTCTAGCGCCATCAATGTTTACTGTTATAATCCATTGAGAAGTATGGGGTGTTGTTAATGGAGTTACCAGACCAGATGTTTTTCACTACAAACACTGCAACACAAGGAGAGAAAGACAGCGAGAGGGAAAGGGAGGGGTGGGTAGAGGGAGAAAACACAGGACTACCAAATCTGCAACAACCAATTACACCACAACCTGAACGCCATGGCAACAGAATCACGTGCACTTCACAGGCGCTCTCACGGAGGTATCCCCTCTAAACGCATCACGCACGCACACACATACACACACACACACACACTGCAGCGCATTCATTACTCAGCTGAGTGAAGGGATGCAGCTGCGCATCGTCTTGACTCCAGCCTGCAGGTCCTCTAGCCACTGCAGGTCCTCTAGCCACTACAGGTCCTCTAGCCACTACAGGTCCTCTAGCCACTGCAGGTCCTCTAGCCACTGCAGGTCCTCTAGCCTCTGCAGGTCCTCTAGCCACTACAGGTCCTCTAGCCACTACAGGTCCTCTAGCCACTGCAGGTCCTCTAGCCTCTGCAGGTCCTCTAGCCACTACAGGTCCTCTAGCCACTGCAGGTCCTCTAGCCACTACAGGTCCTCTAGCCACTACAGGTCCTCTAGCCACTGCAGGTCCTCTAGCCACTACAGGTCCTCTAGCCACTGCAGGTCCTCTAGCCACTACAGGTCCTCTAGCCACTGCAGGTCCTCTAGCCACTACAGGTCCTCTAGCCACTGCAGGTCCTCTAGCCACTACAGGTCCTCTAGCCACTACAGGTCCTCTAGCCACTACAGGTCCTCTAGCCACTACAGGTCCTCTAGCCACTACAGGTCCTCTAGCCACTACAGGTCCTCTAGCCACTACAGGTCCTCTAGCCACTACAGGTCCTCTAGCCACTACAGGTCCTCTAGCCACTGCAGGTCCTCTAGCCACTACAGGTCCTCTAGCCACAGGCACTGCATCATCTCAATGGCGATATTTGTGTCTGTATACTTGTGTCTGTATACGTGTGTCTGTATATTTGTGTCTGTATACGTGTGTCTGTATACGTGTGTCTGTATATTTGTGTCTGTATACGTGTGTCTGTATATTTGTGTCTGTATACGTGTGTCTGTATATTTGTGTCTGTATACGTGTGTCTGTATACGTGTGTCTGTATACGTGTGTCTGTATATTTGTGTCTGTATACGTGTGTCTGTATATTTGTGTCTGTATACGTGTGTCTGTATACGTGTGTCTGTATATTTGTGTCTGTATATTTGTGTCTGTATACGTGTGTCTGTATACGTGTGTCTGTATACGTGTGTCTGTATACGTGTGTCTGTATACGTGTGTCTGTATATTTGTGTCTGTATATTTGTGTCTGTATACGTGTGTCTTCTCTGTGTGTGTTATCTTTATACGTTTATTTCAAATGGCTTTACTTCATTTCAATCCAAATATGAAAAGTAATATGGTAATCTGAGAAATATCCAATCAAATATCCTGCAGCTAATTTACAGAATATTTACAGAATTTAAAGGTTGTTGTTGTTTCTAGCAAAAACGTTTTTAAAAAGCGCACCCCTTTTAGCATTGAACGGCCGTCATACCGAAAGAACAGACCTGTCTGTTATTTCCCCTCGACTGTAACCTGAACACAGCTTTCAAAGTGCAAAAAAAAGCAGCCCGTCCGCGTCTCATAAATCAACACTTTGGCCTCACTCAATTCTACAAACCCAACTGCCAGATACAGTGTATCAATCCAAAGAAACCCCATGAAACTTCCCCAACTGGAAACTTCGAAATCCTACACGGATATTCCGTTCAAGCGGATTTGTAATTAATTATTTACGGAAGGCATCGAGGTACTGCATCGTGACCTCTGTGACCTATGTCTTCTGTGTTTCCCCCCGTAGTCATACAGACGTATGCAGGCACCATACGGTAGTCATACTGACATCCGTGTACTATGCGTCGAGGCAGGACGACAGGAACATGAGTGTGTTCGGTAGGACACACTACTCAACGTGCGCCATCACTCACACATCCTGTTGTGTTGGACTGGGGGAAACACACTCTTGTGACACACACTCGAAACAAAACGTTGTTGTTTGGAGCTTCCGAAATTGAGTGTACATTTGTGCGGTGAATGAGTTCTGAATAGTACCCCAGTGTTATGTGAACATACTGTATATGTCATAACACTGAATACTCCACAAGTGCATTATTCAAAGTATTCACAGTAGGCAGTGATAAGTTGTGTGCCACTGCAGGCTATAAAAAAAAACTCAGAGCTTTTAACAGGCTCATTGTTGCAATAATGTCAATGTATTCTTTTTAGATAACCCCTACATTATGTTGTCTGCATGAACGCATATTGATAGTTTCCCCCTTACATTGTAGGCTATTGCACTTTGAGCGTCTGCAAAAGCGCTATAAACATCCAAATCAATTACTTGTCTTATTATCAACTGGTGAACACGTTTTTTCAAGTTTGAAACACAATATCAGATGGATGTTCCTACTGACCCTGGTTGTGTGACTGACTGACCCTCATCTCTAGAATAAAGACACAAAATAGGAAACGCAGAAACTAAATCCCTGGACGTAGCCTAATCCCAAACCACTGACAAGTTATTTGGTGTTTAATAGAAGATATAATCTGTTATTATGCAATTTATTACAATATTATCCATGAATATAAAAATCCAAGCCAACAGACAAACTATTGTACTTGAATGGACTTCAAAAGACCAACGTTTAAAGTGAAGTGAACGTTTTTAGTAAATTAATTAAAATGCCAGCGCAAGTATATGACCCACATCCATTCATACCATCTGACTATGCACAAGTCCCTACATTCGGACAAGTTGTTTTAAGTAAAGCCCTTTCCTCATTCAACTGGAATGAGAGTAGAGACTCACTCTAGCAAAACAAGTTGTGCACAAACTCACCTGTTTCCAGTGCGTGAGCATCCCCAAAGTTTTCTCCTTCGTCTCAGAACAGCATAACCCCATTCTTGCAAAGGCAATGCCACACGTACGATATAAACTTGCCCAAACTTCTCTCAAATATGTGAGCGTGTCTCTGTTTATCTGTCCGTGTCTGCTTCCTCTCTGTATTCAAATCTATTCTCTTCTGGCGATAGTCAGGAAACGCAAAGCGATAAAACCTGACTGACTGGCTGGGTGGCTGACTGACTGACTGACTGGCTGGCTGGGTGGCTGACTAACTGGCCGGCCCACACAGAGACTAAGCTAAACAAGTCCTCACTCAATCATAATGTAGCCCCATGCCTGTTGCCACCCCTCCCTCCCTCTTCCTCCTTTGGTGATCATTTCCTGGTAAGACCTCAGCCTCCTGACAATGCCTCTGGCACTGGTCCACAGACACACCACACCTACCTAGACTCAACACACCACACCTACCTACCTAGACTCAACACACCACACCTACCTACCTAGACTCAACACACCACACCTACCTACCTAGACTCAACACACCACACCTACCTACCTAGACTCAACACACCACACCTACCTAGACTCAACACACCACACCACACCACACCTACCTACCTAGACTCAACACACCACACCACACCACACCTACCTACCTAGACTCAACACACCACACCTACCTAGACTCAACACACCACACCACACCACACCTACCTACCTAGACTCAACACACCACACCACACCACACCTACCTACCTAGACTCAACACACCACACCTACCTAGACTCAACACACCACACCACACCTACCTAGACTCAACACACCACACCTACCTAGACTCAACACACCACACCTACCTAGACTCAACACACCAAACCTACCTAGACTCAACACATAGACCTGTAATGTAGGTAAAGTCCCTCATTACAGAATACCTACTGATGCACTGTATTGTAGACTATTAGGGAGGTAAGTGAAACATAAAAGATTACATTTTGTGTACATTTTGCAAGGTCCCATCCAGGGCTCACTTGAAAAAGAGATAATCACTCGCAGTGTGACGTTCGCTGGTTAAATAAAATATATACTTCGCCTCATTTTCCTTTCTATATGCATTGAGGTTTCGTTTTAAAGCAAAGATATGGAGCTTTATACTTTCAACGTCAGAGAAAAGATGCCATGAATGTACACCATATATGCAAACGTATGTGGACACTCCTTCAAATGAGTGGATTCGGCTATTTCAGCCACACCTGTTGCTGACAGGTGTATAAAATCGAGCACACAGCCATGCAATCTTCATAGACAAACACTGGCAGTAGAATGACCTTATTGAAGAGCTCAGTGACTTTCAACTTGGCACAGTTATAGGATGTCACCTTCCCAGTTCCTCAAGTTTCTGCCCTGCTAGAGCTGCCCCGGTCAACTGTAAGTGCTGTTTTTGTGAAGTGGAAACGTCTAGGAGCAACAACGGCTCAGCCGCGAAATGACATCTCACAGAACGGGAGCGCCGAGTGCTGAAGCGCATAAAAATCGTCTGTCCTCGGTTGCAACACTCACTACCGAGTTCCAAACTGTCTCTGGAAGCAACGTCAGCACAATAACTGTTTGTCGGGAGCTTCATGAAATGGGTTTCCATGGCCGAGCAGCTGCACACAAGCCTAAGATCACCATGAGCAATGCTAAGCGTCGACTGGAGTGGTATAAAGCTCGTCGCCATTGGACTCTGGAGCAGTGGAAACGCGTTCTCTGGAGTGATGAATCACGCTTCACCATCTGGCAGTCCAACGGACGAATCTGTGTTTGGTGGATGCCAGGAGAACGCTACCTGCCCCAATGCATAGTGCCAACCAGAGCATATGAGCGGAGTGGAGCGGTGAGAATCTCAGCTCCTCACTCACGGAGCTGTTCACCCCTCCGCTCCCCCCGCTCAAAGCCACATCAGGCCAGTCCGCTCATTATCGCTCAGCGCTCAACGCAGTTTGCATCGCGCTCCACTCAAATCGTCCCCCGCTCACTCCAAAAAAGGAACAAAATCTGCATGTATTTCACTTTTAGCTTAAACCACAGCCTTACTTTATCTCCCCGAATTTGTTGCATACAGACTCATCTCGGATTATCCATTCTGTCTTGAAACGGGGATCTAACACTGACGCTAAAATGAGATGTTAATCAGTATAGTATATTCCATAGCGAATTGACACGTTGTTTGCCAATGTTTCTGCAAAAGCAGCGATGCCCATTGGAAGTGCAGCGTGAGTGTCATCGGTGAGCAGGGATTTGATTTCTGTGACAGCAGGGAGGATCATCCCCAGGTTCCCCAGCTCCTTCTGCATTTTGTCTGTGAGGTCTGCCAGTGGTGTCAGCACACTGACAAGGTGCGTCAGCTGCCGTACTTGATTCAGGGTGATGTTAGCAACATTAGACTTGAGTTTGTTTTGCCATAACGGGTCTTTTTGGAACAACCGGCTGAATGACTGAATCATCCGCAGCTGGCTGCTCCATCGAATGGCGCAGGCATTTGTGGGGCGGACACCTAATTGGTCGGTTTCCTCTGTGCTCTTGCGTACACTTTTCACCAGGTGCCCGACTTTCACTAACAGCCTATTAATGTTGTCGTACTTGTTAAAGGCGTTTTTGATCGCCAGCTGAAGCATGTGAATGGGGCATCTCAGATGTAAATTTGACAAAGTAAAGTACTGATTTATCATAGTTTCTTGGGGGGGTGTAGCCCGGTTGAGCTGCGCTGGCGAAGTGTTGCATCCCTTCGCGTTCTCCTTTACTCAGCGGTTCATAGTCCATGAAAATCATTTCAAAAAATGCTACATCCAGCTCTCTTTTTCTCTCCCTTGTTATGGTTGGGCCTTTGCGTGCAGTGAATAAACTTTTGAATTCCTCAACCCTTTTCTCTTGTTGCTGCTGCTGCTCCTCTCGCTCTATAAAATACAAATTCATGGACGACACAAATTAAATTAAACAGATGGATTCTGGGTCAGGCTTGAGCATGCTTCAGACTCGTGGTGTGAGCGAGCGAAATTGGAGCGGGACATAGGGCGACGCTCCGTCCTTTTAAAAATGCCGCTCTGCGCATTTTCAAAATCTTCAAAATCCGTCCGCTCACGCTCCAAGCTCGCTCCCGCTCCACTCCGCTCATATGCTCTGGTGCCAACTATAAAGTTTGGTGGAGAAGGAATACTTTTCTGGGGCTGTTTTTCATGGTTCGGGCTAGGCCCCTTAGATCCAGTGAAGGGAAATCTTAACGCTACAGCATACAATGACATTCTAGACGATTCTGTGCTTCCAACTTTGTGGCAACAGTTTGGGGAAGGCCCTTTCCTGTTTCAGCATGACAATGCCCCCGTTCACAAAGCGAGGTCCATACAGAAATGGTTTGTAGAGATCGGTGTGGAAGAACTTGACTGGCCTGCACAGAGCCCTGACCTCAACCCCATCGAACTCCTTTGGGATGAATTGGAACGCCGACTGCGAGCCAGGCCTAATCGCCCAACATCAGTGCCCGTCCTCACTAACGCTCGTGGCTGAATGGAAGCAAGTCCCCCGCAGCAATGTTCCAACATCTAGTGGAAAGCCTTCCCAGAAGAATGGAGGCTGTTATAGCAGCAAAGGGGGGACCAACTCCATATTAATGCCCATGGTTTTGGAATGAGATGTTCGATGAGCAGGTGTCCACATATTCTTGGTCATGTGGTGTATCTTTCCCTCTCTCGATCTGCTCATTCTCATCTCACAGTGAAACTGGATTTGAGGTTTGGTTGATTTAAAGCAAAGAGATACAACAGATTGCAACGTTAGAGCACAATGCAATACTGACCCAAGCTGACAAAGCCTAATATGACCCGACCCAGTGAGAGTCCCTGTGCCCTAGGTTTGCAGGGTAACACACACACACACACACACACACACACACACACACACACACACACACACACACACACACACACACACACACACACACACACACACACACACACACACACACACGTACGCGCACAGCAGCCTTAAGAAGGCACTCAATGCCACATTTGTTTGCCCCAAACATAAGTTTCCTGCATGTGGAAAATTGTGTCTAGTAAGAAAATCTAATATAAAATCAATGCCACCATTTAATAAATAAAAAAAGGATGTTGTTTTGGATACATCTTGATGGTCCGAGAAGCAGTTTGTAGATACAAAGTCAGTTTCTGTGCAGGCACAAAAAAAGTTAAAGGGCTTACAACTATAGATAAAGAAGTCTCATTAGTACAAGTACTAGTCAATCACTATCATTATCAAATTGTCATTTAACAACCATTACCATCCCTCAACCCACTGACTCATAAACCTGCACATCTGTGTCAATAATTCCGTCATTTGGTTCTAAAGACCGAAGCAAGTGGAATGACCACACATGAGTTAAAGTTTCCTACCGGCACTTGGATGGCTCCACTAGCCTGCAAAGCCACTCTCGCTAACTGGATTCAGATGGCTGTGTTTGTCTAAGGTCCAGAGCTAACCAGAGCTAACGTCAGTATGGACGTGTGGGGAACTTAATGACAGTAGAACAGCAGCTATAGGAGCAGTCATTGGAACCATGGAGTGGCCCAACAGGACTGTGTGGGCCAAGCCCCGGATACACCGGTGTCCTTGGAAACCTCCCCCTCCGGGGAAACGCCCTTCATAGGGTAATTAGTTCCACCCCGAAATCATTGGATTAGATAGGGTCGCTCTTTCATTGGGGATGTAGGCCTGCACATTGCTCCTTATCCCGGTCTGGAACAAAAGCCTGCACACCCAGTGGACCAGGGTTAGGACCAACCAATGGAATAGTCCCAAATGTGCAAACCCTGCACATCTGGCACTCCAGGCAGGCTCAATCGAATGCTAAACCTACTTGAAAAGAGAACTAATGCTGTTTGATCTCCAGCTCTGAATCATACTATGAGAAATCCCACTGAGTAACGTGCAAACACATTTGGGGATTTTGCACCGTTCTCAACTTGCATAGAACAATAAAGGCCGCGTGCCTCAGACACCAAGAGGAGTCATCTGACTGGGGATCTGAAACTGTGACCTTCTAGCCTCCACTTTCCGGTCCTATTCCCAAAGCACTGGACTTGGGTTACCCATCCATCTTTTAAGGCCTTTGAGTCGCGGTCAACAATGGCTCCTGTGCCCTGTCTGAACGTTGAGTACTGAATGTTGTACTGGCACACGTTCAGGGTCTCTGGGCTCATTGTGTTGAGTCCCAGTGACGTTGATAACGGTAAAGGGAGGCCCAGTGACGTTAATAACGGTAAAGGGAGGCCCAGTGACGTTGATAACGGTAAAGGGAGGCCCAGTGACGTTGATAACGGTAAAGGGAGGCCCAGTGACGTTAATAGTGGTAAAGGGAGGCCCAGTGACGTTGATAACGGTAAAGGGAGGCCCAGTGACGTTGATAACGGTAAAGGGAGGCCCAGTGACGTTAATAGTGGTAAAGGGAGGCCCCAGTGACGTTGATAACGGTAGAGGGAGGCCCAGTGATGTTGACAATGGTAGTGGGAGGCCCAGTGACGTTACTAGTGGTAAAGGGAGGCCCAGTGACGTTAATAACGGTAAAGGGAGGCCCAGTGACGTTAATAACGGTAAAGGGAGGCCCAGTGACGTTAATAACGGTAAAGGGAGGCCCAGTGACATTAATAACGGTAAAGGGAGGCCCAGTGACGTTAATAACGGTAAAGGGAGGCCCAGTGACGTTAATAACGGTAAAGGGAGGCCCAGTGACGTTAATAACGGTAAAGGGAGGCCCAGTGACGTTGATAACGGTAGTGGGAGCCCCAGTGATGTTGACAATGGTAAAGGGAGGCCCAGTGACGTTAATAACATACACAAAAAAATAACATACACAAAAAAATTTATGCACGCATGACTGTAAGTCGCTTTGGATAAAAGCGTCTGCTAAATGGCATATTTTTTTTATTTTATTTTTATAACGGTAGAGGGAGGCCCAGTGACGTTGATAACGGTAGAGGGAGGCCCAGTGATGTTGATAACGGTAGAGGGAGGCCCAGTGACGTTGATAACGGTAGTGGGAGGCCCAGTGATGTTAATAGTGGTAAAGGGAGGCCCCAGTGACGTTGATAACGGTAGAGGGAGGCCCAGTGACGTTGATAATGGTAGAGGGAGGCCCAGTGACGTTGATAACGGTAGTGGGAGGCCCAGTGACGTTAATAGTGGTAAAGGGAGGCCCCAGTGACGTTGATAACGGTATAGGGGAGGCCCAGTGACGTTGATAATGGTATAGGGAGGCCCAGTGACGTTGATAACGTTAGTGGGAGGCCCAGTGACGTTTTGATAACTGTAGTGGGAGGCCCAGTGACGTTGATAACGTAGTGGGAGGCCCAGTGACGTTGATAACGGTAGTAGTGGGGGCCATGTGCGTTAATAGGGTAAGGGAGGGGCCCCAGGACGTTGATAATGGTAGAGGGAGGCCAGGAGTGATAACGGTAAAGGGAGGCCCAGTGATGTTGATGAATGGATAAAGGGAGCCAGTGAGTGATAATGGTAAGAGATCTAGAGGGGTCATGACATGTAGCTGGTGGCCTGCGGGAGAAGAAAGGAGGAGGAGGGAGGAGAAGTAGGGACTGAAATGGAGAAGGAGAAGAGGAGGGAGAAGGAGAAGAGCTTGCGGAGGGAGAGATGAGAGGAGATTGGATGGAGACGTTGGGGATACGTACTGAAAGTGACACTCAGATGACTCTTGTGAGAACCGGTTGCATAGGATGCATACGAGGACGGATGTCGCATACCTGGCAGAGGAGTCCGTGCAGGAGATGGCTGCAGAGATCTAACTGAGAGGCAGATGAGGGACTGCGGAACTAGAAGGTGTACGAGTAAGAGGGGAATGTGTAAGAGGGCAGTGCAGGAGCTAGCAGAGGACGTGGAAGAGAAGCGGTGCGTAGACGAGCAGATGAGGTCGGGATGGTACGAAGATGCATGGAAGGAGAATGAGGGCGATGGCGAAAGCTGTGCGAGACACGCTCTGGAATGGTCTTCTATCGTAGAGCGGCTAGGAGACGGTACGTGAGGAGATGAGGATTGCAGTGAGAACGAGCTGATCGGATGAAGATGGAGGGGATGGTCGAAGATTCCAGATGGAGATGAGGGCGGTCGCGATCAAGAGGAGGACTGGGAGATGTGATGAGGGAGAGGGGAAGGAGGCAGTTTAGAGTGAGAGGAGTCAGGGACGGAGAAGGGAAGGTGAACTGGCGGAGACGGTAGAGAGGGGTAGGAGCAGGAAGAAGGAAGGACGGTTAGGGGCAGAGGGCCGAGCTAGAGAGGAGAGAGGGGAAGGAGAGAGAGCAGGGGAGGGAGGGAGAAGGGAGGGGAGGGGAGGAGAGGCAGAGGAGGAAGGGAAGAGGCTGTGTAGTGGTCAGGAAAAGAGAGACAGGAAACCTAGTCATGGTCACCTCTCATCACGGTTAGGGTAGACCCCCCCACCTTCTGACTGCAGCTCCACTGTAATGCCACTGTTTGTAGGCCTCACAACCTGAATCCTTAGCGTACATTTTTGGTCGCCGTACGGTCTCCTCTTTGTTGGAGTTTGCAGTTCTACACTATACTAGAGTAGGCTAATTGGAAACAGTTTTGGAGGCGAGTTTCACGTCTTACAATGTAAAGTATTCTATTACCATATGGCTTACCAACACGGCAATCAACTGTAACAGCTAGCCTTAACAGCTAGCCTAGCACGCTACTGTCAAACCAGACTGAACTCTCCTATGCTGACTTCATGATAGTTCAATCTAAAACTAGTTATAAAACCAGAGTTATACCAAGAAAGGTCAGGTTTTGGTCATGAATTCTGACAAAGGTTTTAGCCGTTGAATAATTTTTGGCTAAAATGAGCTATCCCAGACGCAAAGACGTCATCAGACAAAAAGACCTATGGCCTAGTGACGTCAACATTATAGAAATAGACACAGAATGTCACGCACAATGGGGACTCTATTATTTTATGCAGTGTTGCATGTATAATGTGTGAATGACAGTCTTACGGAGAAAAGACAAATGGACATATTGGTATTCAGATAGGCGTCTTATTCAGCAAGAACAGTAGTCTATGGTCCTCTATGCAAACTCTCCACTGTTTGCGCATTTTACAGCAGATCCATGAAACGGCAGTAGCCGTTGACACACACAACCGCAGGATGCTACTCACTTTGCAAGTACGTCAATGTTAATCAAAGCAGTCTTCATATTGGACACTTTGCGCAGTCAAGACTAACAAAGACCTTTTGTGCTGTCACCAAGCAGAAGTAACATTAGTCCAATATTATTTCAACCAAGTCACATCTAGTTTCTGTGTCCTGACGAGTTACTAACCACATCACACAATATAATCTCAGCCATAGACTCAACGCACTTCAATGGTTTGTTTCAAGTTGTGTTGTGGTAAGTTTGTGTTGTTGTAGTAGTAAGTTTGTGGTTGCAATATGGTCATGTTGAGCAGCAATTATGTTGTGGTCAACACAACTGCAACTCAACGTGTTATGTTGGGGTGCGTATGGTTTTGTTGTGGTTTCATTACGGTCGTGTTGTGGTTGCCTTATGGTCATGTTGTGTAGTGGTTGCATAATGGTTGTGTTGTGGTTGCATTACGGTCATGTTGTGTTCTGGATGCATTAAGATCATGTTGTGTTGTGGTTTCGTTAGAGTTATTTTGTGTTGGATTTGTGTTGTGGTTTCATTAAGAGTTATTTTGTGTTGGATTTGTGTTGCGTTATGGTCATATAAACAATAGTCCAGCTCAGTCTTACCTTGTTGGAGGCCATGTCGCTGACGGACCGGTAGGTCTGGATGGTTTCCAGCTGGTCCAGACACCAGTCCAGCTCCTCCATGGTCTCCATGGCCAGCTTCTGGTACGACTCGTCTGTCAACAGACACACAGCAGACACAAATTCAGGACCTAGCGGCTCCATGTCCGACACGGAGCATGGTGGGGGTCCCAGAGCAGGGAGGCCATGCCGTATGGGGGTCCCGGGTGGGGAGGCGTGAAGAGGCGAGCATTGCTCCTTCATCATACGTGGTGGTCCGGTTAACTCAAAGGCACTCTCAGTCAAGGAGAGCGGCTAAGAGTCGCAGTAGTGTTTCTGTCTCTCTCTGGGGCAATGTGTCCTCTCTCTCTCTCCCTCTCGCTCTCTCTCTCTCGCTACTCTGCTCCCCTTGTGGCGTTGATGTGTCACTAACCCCCCCTGCCTGAGGGGTGTTTGGGGGGAGGGGGGTGGAGCACTGCCAGCACACTCACCCACCCTCCTCGCACGAGACGCTTCACCGCACCACAAACATCACAACTGCTGCTACCAGACTCGTATTATCCTGCTCAGGTTATACACTGTCCCCACCCCCCCTTCCCCAATACACATGTAAATATTGGACTATAAATGGTGCCTTCCTGTATTATACTTCCGCTAAAATGTTTATTCTATTCTACTGATCCATTTACTTTATGTTCGTATTCTTATCTTGTATAATTTCTTATTGTTGTTGCATTGTCCAGAAGGAACCTACATGTAAGCATTTCGTTGGACGATGTATACCATGTGTATCCCGTACATACGACTAATAAAACTTGAAACTTAGAGCACCAGGGCTCCAGTGTAGCATATACTGTATGTCTAATGGGGTTGGCTTGAGGAGGGCCCAGATCCTTAATACTCACACACGTGTTAACTGTTGCACATGCTGTATGTCTAGGAAACTTGTCATAAACTGGGAAAACGACACTGTTGCTCTTGGATAGAAGGGGAGAGTCATAGAAAGAGATAGAGGGGAGAAAGAGGGAGACATACGGATGTAGCATCTTAATTTGACCAGTATTGTCGCAGAAATATAATATTTAGTCCATAATGGTGCTTGATCAGTGGTTAGGCTATTAGCTGGACAAAATCAGACTACATGAAAAGTGCAATACTGTTAATATAACCAGGTTTTAGTGCGGTTTTCCAAGAATTTATGTAAATCACGAAGCTCATCTGCATTTCCTGCAAATTCTAAGCAACAAAAAGAGTGATCAAATTAAGATCCTACATCTGTAAGAACAGATAAAGGGGGAAATAGCGGTTACCATAGAAATTAGGATACAGAAATAGAGAAAGAGCGAAAGAGAGATTGATGATGGATAGATAGAAAGAAAGATTGGTGTTTTTTGAGGGGGAACTCAGATTTCACTGACATTTTCAACTTCTCCCTGACA